ATATATATATATATATATATATATATATATATATATATATTACGCGAAAGTTTACAAGTTTATGAAGAGAGGTCAAGAAATGAATATGGGCGTGATTAAACTCAGCGGTAACGACAAGGGGGGGGCGTTCAGTGTAGTTAGAAAGTTTGAATGTAAATAAACCAGCAAGTATCTGTACATAAGAAGTTGTACTGGAGGGTAAGATGTAAATTTCTGATGATACGTTTGAAAAAAATACCGAAATACATGATACGCGTCATGCGTTGTAGGCTAAGATCATTTTTGTACACCAAGAACATTCGGTGCACGCTGTTAGACCACCACTACGATCTCGTGGTACACAAATCCTGTCCAACTCGTGCACCTCATAGAAATCGAATTCAACCAAGGAATCGTTGCACATAAGTTTCTTTCAACATAATCACCCTATATGCGTGATGCTGTTTCTTTTTTATTGGTTTCTTAAAGTCGCTAGTTTTCCCGAATGATGATTGCACATTTGAAGAGCAACTGGCAGGTAAAAATTTTATACGTGAAATATCCACGTCGCATTACTCATTTTGTCAACACAAAAATATGCATGTAGGCCAACTTAATATGAACCAAGAATTTTGCATGCTATAATTGAGCTGAATTCTTGTTTTGATAAAATACTTGCTAGTTTGTATCTTAACAAGGTTCCGTGTTGCGTATGCGCCTTTCATGATCAGATTCACGTTTTTCATGTAGCAACATTAGATCATGGAATATTACCTCGGCCGCGGTGATTACGTTTCAGTGGATGAATTTTGAAGGGAATTGTCCTGGTTCAGTAAATCAAAATGACTGCATATTTTATTTATGTAATTTGAAACGTATCTTCTTCTGTGTAAAACGCATGACAATAACCAATGTCATGACGACAGATGTCTATTGCTGAAAACGCAGGGTTTCCTTCTATATGTTGCTCATTAAGAGAATAGTCAATCTTGTATCGATAAATTCACATTGTAGTGCATAGCTGGATGTGAAGAAGGGCTGTGAAGGTTTACTGAGCCAGTCGGATGTGGTAACAATGGATGCTAAAATCCCAAGGGAATGAATGTATGAAAAGTAAAGGTTAAAGAACAAGGGATGAAGCGCTATGGAGTTGAGTGATGGTTGAACTTGTGAATTAGACCTAAATTTTACAGTAAAAACAATGTAAGTGCTTTATACATCAACTGTTGTCACAAAGCGATTTGCTAATATTGGCAACTTACCGATTCGGATTTTTGGTAATCTGTTTGATCAACTGACAGTAAATTTCATCTTTCAATAACTCGTTTTCGACAAATGGTTTAAAGATCCGATCGGTTAGGTAGCACGGTTCCTTAGATGGTGGACTGGGCACAAATCTGCCGTATTTCATATCACCCATGTAACAGAGGATTGAAAGAAAACAGTCCATAGCAGTCAAACGAGTTTTTTCATTGGCCTCGACTAACTTTCTGAGCAATGGTCGACGTAAAGGTTCATAGGTGTGACTCCAAAGTGGCGCTGGAGCTGGTCCGTAGCGAGCTTGTGCAGATGGCCTAATCAAGCAAGACGGGATATGTGCACGTGGAAAGAGATCAATGTGGTAATTGTTT